CAATAGACCTGAACCCGACTTGGGACCCGAGGGGTAGACCCGGTCTGAGTCGAGGCATGGGTCTAAAAATTGGACCCAACCGTAGTGGTGGCAATAGACTTGAACCTGACTTGGGACTCGAGACCCGGTCTGAGTTTGACCTAACGGGTTGGGTCCATATCGAAATCTTGGATCCGAACACTATTTAGGTATGGGTCCAAGTCAAGTCCGATCGGATTCGGGTCCAAGTCCAGTAATATTTTTTGGATCTCATATATTTAAATATAGTTAAATATATGGATATCTTATTTTTTGGATTGGGTCTGGGTCCGGGTCCAGGTCCCATATCATTTTTCGGGTTCGGGTCCGAGTCTGGCTGGACCCACACCTGACTCAACCCATTGCCACCCCTAAAGAGGGATTTGAAGACGGGGTGGAATGAAATATATTTTTAGAGAGATAAAAATGTTAATGGAAAAGAAAATTTTTTAGGAGAGGGTGTCATTTTAGTGTTTTTTTGGGTCAAAAATTCATGGTAAAATGAGTACAGTGTACTGTAAGATAGAAAAGATGGAGACCTTTAATATTTTCAATCATTGGGTCTCTAGAGATATATAAGTAAAAAAGAAAGGATAATGAGATATTTTCCCCAGTTTTTTCTACCATAAGTATAGAAACTCATCTTCATTTAACTATCCAAAAAATTGTTCGAATTTTATGCGGTTCACCTTTTTAGATCATTTTTTTAAAAATAAAAATAAAAATAGTATCCATACGATAATTCCCTTTTATTTTATTGGATTTTAGAATTAGAGGGGTGTTGGTTCTGAATTGTAAATAAGATAAGTTTGAGTATATCATATTTTCATATCTGTTCATAAGTAATCCGAAGAGATATGGAGACTTTTGGCATCACTGAGAATATAATATTTAATAGAGCAAAATGACTAATTAGGATTTATGTAGCCGACCTCAAATATTATGATGATATATCATCTTTACATATGTAAAAGTGAAGACGTCTTAAATTTGTTCTAAATTTTTATTTTGAAAAAAAAAAGCTTTAGAAATGCATCGAACCTATATTTTGAACAAACAGCTCAAACGTGCATTGCATGTTTTAACCCATGTATTTTCTTTCATGGTCATACTTCTCTTTTTTTTTTTTTTTGGGTAAATCAGGGGATTACAATTTATTTTTGGTAGATCAATGGGGGATTAAATGCCCCTATCCATTTTTTGAAATAGTTAGATTTTTTAATACATTAGTGAGATTTTTTTGGGTAGATCAATGGGGATTACATGTTTTTTTGGGTAGACCAATGGGCTTACAAGCCCTATCTGTTTTTGGAAATAGTCAAATTTTTTAATGCATCAGTGAGAAAAGAAGCAATGACCTTCAAGTAGGGCACGATGGTACCATGACCACAATCCTGGCCCCATTCTCATGATCATACATTGTTATATTCTTTACTATCAATCATCCTAACAGGCTGTACACATTAAATATTTGGAACCAACCAAAAAAAATGTATTTGGCAAGTTTTTATGGTTTATGAATAAATTCTTAAGTAGATAGTAATTCTTAATGGAAAGTGTGCAATAAGATGATTTGCAGTCGGTACAAAAAGTTCACAATCGCTTGCCAATTACCATGGGGTGTGCCATTTACCATGCTTAAAGTGCTAGAAATTTTATTTAGACTTTCTGTATGAAAATGCATACTCTGAGCCGCCTAATACACTAAAAAAACTTGTTATTCCACTAAATTTAGATACCCTTAGCCGTCTAATACTCAAAAAATTTGTTATTCCACTTATCATTTAGATATTATTTGGGAAACAGTATTTAAATACAACTGACAACTTAGGATTTCAATATGTTGCTACTGCTTTGGTTGGGCTTTACTCAAGCATATGAGCTACATTTATTTGCATTTGAGTTGCATACATCTGGATCAAGTTTAATAGAATTTATTTTTTGTCAAAGAAAAAGTATTCTTTTTGCATGGATTATATAATGGTGTGGTTTGCATATGGTTGCAACCTTAAATAATCAAATTAAGGTGCACACCCATATTTTGTCATGAGATGCAATTTTGTGTTGAATGCTATGAAAATCTATTTTTATTATTGATTATAAAATTTTAAACTCCATAAGTTTCAAATCAAGCATATTTATAAATATATATCAATCTTGAAAATAGAAATCAAATAATGTGTTGCAAGTTGCAATATTTTTTAGACTCAAGATTTGTTTTTTTTTCATATTCCTACATCTCGATGTCGAGATAATCAATTAGAAGGTTTTCCAACTTCAAAACAGCCTTTTACGATAGATTTTTTAGGTGCATGTTAATGTTGATTTTTTATACTCCATATTCTTTTTCCAGCTATTTTCATCACAGGAGTATAGTTTTTCCTTTATCTAACCAGTCCTTAATTCTTACAACTCCAAACTAAATATTTAGTTTTCTTTATCCTACCCAGCATTGATGCTCATTCCTCATATTTTATTTTTTATTTATCCTACCCAGCATTGGTGCTCTTTTTATTTAAATATACAATAAACTCGCAAAGTATGTTATGTCTTTTGCGGATTCTTTTCAGGATTCATAAAACATTTTGACAAAATTTTAAGTTGGCTATATATTTAACACAACCCACCTCCTTTATCCAGGGGCTTGGGACGAATTAAAGAAAAGTTTAAGTTCTTTTGATGATGATATTTTGTCTTTTTTTTCTTTCTTTCTTCTTTTTTTAACCTTTTTTTTAATTTTCTACATTCTATTTACTATTTGACTATTGAGAGGTGATAGTGATCAATAGTGGAAATCTATCAAATAAATTTTTTAGCTTCTATTTTACTATTGTGAGGTTATAGCGTGCTATAGTAAAATTCTATCACAAAGAACCAACATGAAAAGTAATTAGTTTATATATAAATACAAATGTATACAATAAGACCATTTACTTCTAACATCATGATGTAATAATTATTATTAACCTTCCATATAAAATCAGAATAATGAGATGTGTTATTCACTGGGCACAAGTTCAAAATAAAATCTACCAATTATTATTATTCACTTTAATCAGTAGGATTTCACATCTATGCCTAAGAGTGATATGAGTTCGTTATATAGTATACATCCATGCCTAAGAATGATATGACTTCTTTATATAGTATACAATTTTTTTTTTATGGGTATTTTCAAATTGAATCATATATATATATATATATATATATATAAAAAGTTTTAAATGCCTCGTCACTCATGAGTAATTTGATAATTTTTTTTTCAATTTAATGTGGATTTTTCACGCCTATGAATCAGTTAAATGTGACTATATTGGGGATTTCTATCAATTCAAGTAGGGACTGATCATCCGAATTTCAAAACATTGGCATGAGTATATACATCAATGAAATTTGTGCTGAGAAAAGGCTGATATTGCATCCTAAAATTGGGCTTCTAAGACTTGCTCCAGAAGGCTGAAAGGGGAGAGAAGAAAAACCCTAACTGACGCGTCTCTGTCATGTCTTTTCAACGGTTATAGAGGGAAAGAAAAGCATGGAAACCCCCAAATTTTCTGCCAGCTATACTCGCATTTCTCTCTCACCGTTCCTATTTGAAACAGAAAAGGTACGAATTTCTCAAAAATCATCATATTCTTCTTCTTAAATTTCAGAGTTCTGATCTGAATATCTTTATATTCTATTGGGTCAGTTGTTTTCTATTTCAAACACCCACACCCTAATTTTTGAAGATTCAAATGGGTCAGTTGTTTTCTATTTCAAACACCCTAATTTTTGAAGATAACTCAAGCTTCTTAGTATTCTAGTTTTCAATAAGAAACCTGCTTTTTATTGAAGTTTGGAAATTAGGGTTGTTTTTGTAAAGAGACAATTTTTTAGAAATGGAAAAAAACAAATTTGCAATTTTTTTCTTGAGGTTTTATTTGACTTGGTGTACGAGAGCGTTTGTTTTGCAATTTTTTTTTCTCGAGGCAGGGTTTGGGTCTCGTTGCAAAGACTACTTTTTCACTTGGGTTAATTTTCTTACTGCCATTCTCCTCAACCATGTCTTTAACCAGTGATCACAAAGGCCCCCCCAAAACCCTAAATGCTTCATCAGAATACCCCAAATTCTAATGAAATATTCCAAAACCTTCAGCCCAGATGATGAAGCTATGGTGAGAAAGGTAACAGTTTGGTCGATCATAATTCTGAGATCATGAGTGCTAAAAAAATTCACGAAGCAGCAAAAGCGGGCAATCTGAAAAGCCTTCTGTTAAGACCGTTTTCTCACGAAAATATGCTATGAGGCCAATGCAATGCATGTGCTTTTCTTAGCTCACAAGTGAAAGCCTTAATCTCTATCACGAGTGATTAGCCTAACTGGTAAGATATTTTACCCCCTGGTTATTCACATCAATTGCTATTGGCCTCACTTATTTGCCTGATATGATTTCAAAATTGATGAGGTCTTCAGTCTAATGCAGCTGCTCTCTAGGCCCGCAGAGTGGGCGGGCGGGCGCACGTGTAGCGCCCGCCCATGTACTCCGCCCGTGCCAATTTAGGTTGGCAGATTTTTGGTTCAGGCCGCCTAGGCAAGCATTAGATAGTTTTTTTAAACATTGCTCTCTCTACCTCATCATTACCGTGGTTCTCTCTCATACACACAACAGCTCTAAAAGAATTTGAGCTCTCTAAAAGAAGTTGAGCTTAAAAAAAATAAAGAATTTGATTTGTAATATATTTTTTAATATATTTTATATTATGGTAAATATTTTGATCATTAATATTCATTTTTAAAATCTATTTTTTTCATTAATTTTCAATTTCATTTGAATGTGTTTTGTTTTAATCATTTTTTATATGTTTTTATATTTTATTAGAATTTACATCTTTTTATTTTTTTAACAATTTTTTGACCCTCCGGAATTTGTCAGGTTGAACAGTTGAATCAGTCTGTAGTGTACCAATTAAGCCAGTTAAACTGCTTTCGGCCCATGTACTCTCTCAATACAAGAGTATTGAAATTAATCCCAATAAAATACACCAAAAACAACAAAAAGACTCCCACCATTTAACATCTAGGGAGCAATTAATCATAAGAACAGCACCAAACTTTGGCCCAAGTGGATATAAATAGTACATTGCTCATCAGTGTCATCACCCTTGAGATTGTTTTCTCCTCGTGGTTAAAATAAATAAATAAAAATAGAAAAGAACTAAGGCCCAAGGAGGAGAAAAAGAGAAAAAGTGCAAAAGATAAGAGACCTAATAAGAACCATATCCATGAAATTGGTCATGAACTCCCATGAGCAAAGCCTGTTGCTGCATAGGCACAGCAACATGCTCTGCTCTCTCTATGCTGGGACACAAGGCCCATTGGGGTCGTCACGGTCGACCCCAAATGACTAGTTCAACCACCCGGCAGCCTTGGCCCTCTCTACGCAACTCGCAAACTCATGGCCCACATCGGGCACATCCAATGCCAAATCCTCAAGGCCCTCAGCCACTCTTGCAAACCCCTTCGCCATCTGATAACTCGATATCAACCCCACTGCAAAGCACTCTTCAAGCAACCTCAATGGTCTCTCACTCTTCCTCTCCATTGCCATAACCAACGACTTTTTCACCACTTCGTGGTGAAAAAATGGCATACCTACTTCTCTTATGCATCGACAAGCCTCGCCTACGCCTCCTCCCGAATCATATTCCTCGAGTAGTTTCCCAATTTTCCCCTTGACTTCTTCTATATCTCGACCATTGCTTCCACTACCATCTCCACCCCAACACCTTAATATTCTCTCACCTGAGAGCCGCGCCCCAAGCATGGCTCGAGTCATTCGAATAACTTTAGACCCAATCGAGTTGGGCTTCACTTGTGACTCAATCTCCTCTAAATTTAGCGGAGCTATGGCCTCGTCTACCATTGCTCTCGCTAAAAATAGTGCCAAATCCTCGACCACAATTGGGATGTCCAATGAGGTGTCCTCGGCCGCCTCAATCAGATTGACAAAGCCATTTACCACATCGTCTGAAGGAAAATTTAGCGAAGATAATAATACTGAGGCCATCTCCTTTTCTCTATTCTTTCTATCCATTGCCAGTGAAATCAACCTCTTTACAAATATGACCTTAAAGCAAGGGGAGAGGAGGTTCTCGGATTCGAGCCTCTCAGCCACTTCGGCCACATCTCCTGACAAGAAATACTCTTGAATTATCAAGTTTGCCTTTGACTTGAAGGCCCTTGCATCGCCTTCTTCGAGAAACCCATTTGGTCGAGGAGAGAGAGACTTCAGCAAAGATGCACAGAGCCACCCCTCTGAGGCTGCCTTGGAAATAAGTAATTGAAGCATATCCCTTGCACTAAGAATATCAAGTGATAAGTCATCTACCGTATCGATAAGCCGCTCAAACCCTTTCAATACTTGACTAGAGTTTATCACTCCCTCTTCAGAGGCCTCCTTTAATAAATCTAGCAAAGCACACTCTGCTGTTCTCCTTTCCATCGCTAAGATTAAAGCCCTTTTAACAATTTCATGATGGAAAAATGGCATTTTAAGGTCTTTAATGCATCTACATGCCTCTACCTTATCACCACTTGCTATGTACTCAACAAGAAGATCGTTTATTTTAGACTTAGCATCCTCTACTGTCTTGCTTTTGCTTCCTCCCCACCTCCTTTCAATAACTTCAGCATGAAGAGGGGCCGATAAGTAGTTCTTCTCAGCTCTCTTTATTACTTGAATTCCTTTCGAGTCTTTCGGGAGAGTGGTAACTTGTTTGTTCAAGAAGGCAGGAGGGAGAATATCATCAACAACAGCTCGAGCAATGAAGAGAGCGAGGATATCTATAGCATCAGGTATGTCTACTGCTAAGTCATCAGTGGCTTTGACTAGTTTTCCAAAGCCTCGATAAACTTGGGGTGCTTCAATAACATCGGCATAGAGAGAGGATAAGAGGAGAGCTGCCATTTCCTTCTCTCTATTGTGCCTATCCATAGCCATGGAGACGAGGTTCTTGACAAAATAGTAGTGATAGCATGGAAGGCCGAGGTCTCTTAGTTCATTGGCAGACGAGGAAATATCATCAGTGATGAAGTATTCCTCAATAATCAGTCTGGTTTTTGCTCTGAACTCTTCGAAAGCAGGGGAATGTTTTTTAATCCCATTGGGTTGGCTATTTTCCTGAAATAAAAAAGGAAGGTTTTGTTAAAGTGAAGAAGTTTAAACAAATTGAACAGACATGAACCTGCTTTTAACCTGCAACATTTGCTTGCAATAGACAAATCAACAGGACAGGTACTTTAGAAGTTAAAAATGTCTACCAACTACTATGCCTATCATACACGAATTAATGCAGTAGCAAATGAGAGGTATGAATGCTTTCGTGACTACCTCACTGCTATTATAGTTTGGATCATTTCGATCGAGGACATGATCATCATCAATCTCCAATAAACCTCCCCATATGCCTTTACCACCTGAGCCACCTGCAAGCAAAATATGTCATTGCATTTAATACCATGTATCTACTAATCAATTCGATCTTTTATCAGTAAATGTTTGGAAAATTATCAAAGTAACCATGAGATGCAAACTATTTATATTTTGCACGTGTTTTGATTTAATTACAAAATACCATCAAAAGCCACATGATCATGACATGGAACAGTTGCAAAAGGTTAAAATGTTAAATAGTTAATCTATTATGGGAGTTTTGATAAATTTCTCATAAATCTTTACAAGGAACGTCAATAAAACATAATGTTGAAAGTTTGTTTAGAAAGTTAGCCTTAAATTGAGTGAAAGGAAGAGTACAAAAACCTAGGCAGACCACAGAGTTGGGTGCTCTAGGGAAAGAGAACCAAAAAAGAAGACCAAAATCCTTCTAGAAGATGGTAACAGTGTTCAAACCGCAACTAATAAAAGAAAGTGGTCCAAAATTCCCAGCTAGGGAAACACGTAGATTGCTAAAATTCCTCTCGCAAAGCCGCTTCTTTACCTAGGGCGTCTGCTTCCTGCCCTCCAGGTATGCTTCCATGAGACGTCCATACCCCTACACAAGTAATGAATGTGATCAAAGATGTGTGCTTGGGTCCAGGTTGGAGGTGAAGAGGGTATTCTTTGGGCCCACATAATAGTATTTTGTGAATCGCCCTCTATCACAATTGCGTGTGGGCTTAGAGTTTGAAGTAGCTTTAGTCCTTCCAAGAGGGCGTGGGCCTCGGCTACCACCGAATTGGTGTGCCCGATGTAACTGGAAGACGAAGCTACTGTGTTACCTAAATAGTCTCTTACTATGGCTCCCACTTTCGAAGGACCTGGATTCCCAAGGGAGCATCCATCGAAGTTCAGTTTGAATGGTATGGCAATGGGGGAATCCAACAAGAAGCATGAGCTGGTCATTTGCAATTGTGTTTTAGGATTGCAAACCAATCCTGAAAGAAAGCCATAGTGGTGACTCCTTTAAAACCGTGTTGGTTTGTTGCCCAAAAGACAATTGTGGATTTTAGCTTAGTGAAAATTTTGTTTCACGTGGAGTATTCACCCCTAAATACTCTATTGTTTCTCTCGATCAATAGAGCCCAAATGGTAGCTGCCACCGTGGATTTCCAAAGGAGAAACCTAGGTTAAAGCCAAGGAAAGGGCTGAACATATGATAGACGCCAAGGAAAGGGCTGAACATATGATAGAATGGATGGGACATGCTCAAGTGTGACCCATTGAATGTCAAAAAGTTGGAGAATGCCCCCTCAGAGATTATGAGCAAAGGGACAATTTAGTAGGTGGCCATTTGTTTCTTCGGCAGCCATACACAAGAGACATCGGTTGGGGAGTGGAATGCCCCTGCGCTATATTTGATTATCTGTTAGCACTTTTTGATAGAGTGCTAGCAACATAAAAATCTAGACTTTTTGGGGGGGGGGGTATGGAGACCCAAGCCTGAGAAATTGAAGTGGAAGGTGTTGTAGAAGTAGTTGAAACTTGTGAAAGACTACAACAGAATGAGGGTACCGAGAAGCTCCCGGAGGGCTGAGGAGGACCAAATGATTCTGTCTGCACCACTGTTTGCAAGATTGATGGCCTGAAGTTCAACTTCCAAGTCATTAAGAGCTCTTCGAAACACGCAGTTCCAAGATCTTGAAGACCCCACTAGGACCATCTCATCTTCAACAATAGCCTATTGTGTACAAGATAGAGAATACAGGTCTGCGAATATGTCCTTGAGGGGAGTGTGTCCAAGCTAAAGGTCTTACCAGAAGAGGATGTGATTCCCCTTGTCTGAGATAAAACCTTATGCGAGACTGGAAGTGATGGTGAGCAGCACAAATGGATCGCCATATTCCAGAAGATCTCTGGTTGGGCTTGAAGTCAGGACTCGCGATATGATGGGTATTCGATATTTATGATGAAGGATAGTGTTCCACAGTTGGTCCCTTTGGGTGGCCAGGCGCTAGCTCCCTTTGCCTATGAGTGCCACATTTTGCTTCTTAAGATTTTTTATCCCTAAGCCCCCCAATTTTTTGGATAGACAAGAGTTTATCCCAGGATTTCCCTAATCCCCCCAATTTTTTGGACAGGAAGAGTATATCCCAGAATATAAGATGAAATTTGTCGGAGGAGGCATTCCCATATCAAAAAAACCTTCTCATCAATTGTTCTAATCTTACGCTAACGACTACCGGCATGTGGAAGAAGGACATTGGGTAAACTGGTATATTAGCAAGGGCGACTTTAATGAGGGCCAGTTTGCCTCCCAGAGAGAGGAATCGACCTTTCCATCCGGCTAACCTACGGTTTACCTTGTCGATTATGTGAGACCAAGGTCTCTTTTTAGGCTTTCCCAAGCAGAGAGGTAGGCTACAAAAGAGTATCTGTCACACATCCCCAACTGTCAGCGAAAGAGTTGAGGGAGATCTAATCGATATTAATCCCAGCATTTTGGTTTTGTCAAAATTAACCTTGAATCCCGTTACAAACTCAAAACATCTAAGAAACAATAATAGATTTCCCACATCTTCTGAATCAGCATTGCAAAAAACCAAGGTGTCATCCGCATATTGGAGATGTGAGACTGTTAGCCCTTGGTGACCAACTTTGAACCTATATAATAGGCCAACCAAATACATTCTTGAGATAGATAGATTGAAAACTTTGGCTAAGATTGTAAAGAGAAAAGGGGAGAGGGGGTCTCCTTGACGAAGGCCACTGGTAGATGGAAAGAATCTCTTAGGGGAACCATTGACGAGAATGGAGAAGTGTGGATGAGAGTAGCAGGCCTTCATCCAAGATCTCCATCTCGAACCGAATCCCATTCTAGATTGGGTTTCTTCAAGGATGTCCCAATCCACGTGATCGTAAGCTTTCTTCCAATCAAGCTTTACGAAAATTATGCGTTCCCTATTAAGGTGTCTAGAATAAATGCATTCATGAGCCACCAAAGCATCATCAAGGATTTGATGATCTTTAATTAATGCACTTTGAGGGGGGAGGGAGGGGGGGATTACCAAGGATACGACTTAAGTCAGGGAGCATAAAGCCTTGGCTACGACTCTATAAGTAGAATTGACCAGACGAATAGGTCGGAAGTCTTTGAGGTGGGTTGCTCGTTCAACCTTGGGAATGAGAGTTATAAAAGTGGCATTCAGCGCTCGATGGATAACTCCCCTGGAAAAGAATTCTTCGAACATGGCTAGAAACTCATGTCGAAAGACTTCCCAATATTGTGTGAATAGGGCAATGGGGTATCCGTCAGTCACTAGAGCTCTGTCAGAGTCTAACTGGGCAAACAAGATTTCATGCTCGAAAAATGGTCTTTCGGGGCAGGAGGCTTTTTCAGGTGGTAAGACCAAAAAAGATAGATCCCCCATGGGAGTTCTGGGCCCTGCCGGAGTGGAGAAGAGGTTTTTGAAGTAGACTAGGATGTAGTGTTCGACATTAAGTGGTTGGTCTATAAGGTGATCTTCCACTAATAGGTGCGAGATGGTGTTATCTTTGCACCTGCAGTTGGCTGTTCCCTAGAAGAAGCCTGTGTTGAGGTCCCCAACATTCAACCGTTTTATTCTGGATCGTTGATGCCAGAATATTTCTTCTTGCTTCAGTTGGGATTGGTAAAGAGTTGTTACTTGGATTCTTTGAAGGAATTATGATTCTGGTAAGTTCCTGGATTCTTCAGTGATGTCGAGAGCATGGATGGCTTCAAGGGTGGCTCTTTTAAGGGGGCCGAGGAACCTCGGGAAGCTTGTACTCCAAGATTTGAGGCAAGTCTTGAGCAGTTGAAGTTTGCGTTAAATTCTGAAACCAGCCTAGCCTTGGACCAAGGCTGACAAATCTTGCCACTAGACAGGGAATAGCGAGGCTACGGTGGGTTCTTCCAACCAAACAAGTTCGAACCTAAAAGGTTTTGCACCTCTCTAAGCAAGGTTGGTGTCCAGGAGGAGGGGACAATGATTGGAGGTGGGCTTGGGTAAGGCTAAAGAGTGGGTCCCGTGGAAGGAGGAGTCCTAGTTTATAGAGACCAAAAACCTGTCGAGTCTAGAGAGGGATGGGGTGGTGGAGTGGTTGGACCACGTATATTGTTATCCTTCAGTGGGTAGGTCAAGGAGGTTGTTAAGGCTAACGAAGTTTGAGAAGGCCGACATAGCTGGAGTGATCGTAGAGGAAGAATTCCTCTCGAAGGACCATCTTGTGACATTGAGGTCCCCTCCTAAGCACCAAATGGGGTGTGGGAGGGAGGTAGCGATGTTGAGCTCATCCCAAAGACGGTGCCTTAGCGAGTCTTGATTGGGCTCGTAAATGGCTATGAACTTCCAAAGCAAGCCATCGGATATCCTTAACAAAAGTAAGGTCACCGAAAAACTCGCAATGTGAGAGGAGGTTAGGGAATGAGCAGTGGGGTCCCAGATGACCCAAATGCCACCCGATGCCCCTTCCGCAAGTAAAGAGACCACTGACAAGGTTGGCGTCCCCATACCTGCCTAACTTGGAATAGGGTAGGATGGGGTGACTTAGTTTCAGTGAGGGCCAAAATTGTGGGCCTGTTTGTTTGAAACATGGATCTCTCACTGCCAAGTTCTCGGCTTCCTTTCTTGCTTACCCAAAAAACACGACTGAACACCAGCCAAGAAGTATTCATGGAATTGGGCATCTACTTTTTCTGGTCCTTGCCAAGACCACGAGAGTGAGTTCTCGGCTTCCTTTCTTGCTTACCCAAAAAACGCGACTGAACACCAGCCAAAAAGTGTTCATGGAATTGGGCATCTTGTCCTGAATGGGGGAAGGCCATTACTTTCATGACGTCCAGAATGCCGTTGACGTAGTCTGAGTTCACTGACAGTGGCGAGAGAGGGTCCCCTATTGTGTCGACAAACAGGAGCAGAGAGTGAGAAGAAGAGAGTGAGAAGATGAAGCCGAGACGATCGCAAGAGAAGGTAAACCCGACAGCCCAGGAGAAGAGAGTGAGAAGATGAAGCCGAGACAGTTGCAAGAGAAGGTAAACCCGGCAGCCCCATAGAAGACAACCTGTAAAATACCACAAGCAATTTCAGCCTTGATGAATCTGCCAGTATATATGAGGGAGGATAAGGGTTGTTCCTTTTTCAACCAAACTAGACCGGGGTGGGTTGAGTGTGGGTATGTGAAGGTCGGGAGTTGATGGGGATGCAAGAGAGGGAGAGAAAGTAGGGTTGGGGCAAGGGCCTGCTGGAGGAGGGGTATTCCCAGGGATAAACAATGCGGCAGGTGGTGAAGGAGCGAAGGTAGGAGTGGCAGAAAGGGGGACAAATGGTGTCAATGGCATCGAAGGTAGGAGTGGCAGAAAGGGGGGACAAATGGTGTCAATGGCATCGAAGGTAGGAGTGGCAGAAAGGGGGGACAAATGGTGTCAATGGCATCAGTAGGGTGAAGAAATGAAGAGGGGCTTACTGGGGTGGTGAGAAAAGGGGGTAGGGGAAAAGCAGGGGTGAGAAAAGGAGATCCCAAGAGGATAACGGGTGAGGGTGCATTCTGTGAAAGAGGAGGTGGTGGAGAGAGGAGGATAAAGTTGGGCGGAGGCAGGCCAGCAGGGATGGGGACAGAGATGATAATAGGGTCATCATTGAGGGGATCTGCAGTGTAGCTTATAATAACCTGGGGGGCTGAGATTAAATTAGCAACCAGGATACCCTCTATGTCCGCCAGTGTAGTGTCCACCTTCTATGGGGAAGGAGATGGTGTTGTGTCTCCTTCAGGTGATGCTTCTACCTCTTCCAGGAAATCTATGAGCAAAGATGATGATGGAGACGAAGGCCGGGTCCAGCAAAACAAGATGAGAGGAAAAGATCAAGCAAGTTGGGTGGCTGTTGCGGTGGGGTAACCTCCGAGGTAGGCCAGGGGAAATGCATGATGAAGTGGGAATGTCGAGGCTGGGCTGTGTAGGTAGGTGTGGCTTGTGTTGAGAAGACACGAGGACTGGTGGCATGGGCAGAGAGCGAGGGTGGGATGGTGCGTTGAAGTACAGGGAGAAGGGAATTGTCCTGAAGAGTATTGGGGGAAGGGGAGAAGGAGAGATAGAAGGACGAAGTATGTTGACATGTGGCGGTGGTAGGTGAGTGAGGGGGACAGGTGTTGAGTGTCTCTAGCCGACAAAGGGAAGTGCATCAGCGTAAGCGATATTGATCGAGGTAAGTGGAACGAGGGGCATGGGTTCTCGTGCTCAAGGAATCGGCACTACATCTCCTTGGACAGTGCGAGACTCCTTGGATGGTGCGAGATGGTAGTGTGGGAGGGGGTGGTGGGGTGGAGGAGGCAGACCTGGGTGGCGCGCAGGTGGGTAGCCTTTGGGAGGGGGTGGCGATTGTTTCATCGGCTCTGTACGCGTCTTGGCCTTCTCTTGACAACATGCTTCCACTGCTCCTGATTAATGGGAGTAGTTGACAGTCTTGAATTGTTTCCCGAAGCGATGAACCTAAGAGCGGGCGGTGAGCCAGAAGGCCAGGAAAGGAGGACCTGGAAGTAAGCTCACGCGAATTCCAGCAACGGAATGGAGGATTGTGATTCGGTTCAAGCATGTCAACGATGAGCAGTAGAGTGCCTAGAGGCAGATTTTTCATGGACTTCTAATGAACAACCGCAAAGAACCCACAAGAGTTACCAATGGCCTTGAAGGTGTCAAGGCACCAAGCGTGTAGAGGGATAGAGGTTTGGCTCAAAGGAGACCGTGAGCCAAACCTTTTGCCGGTCAAAGGCCCCCAAGTTAGCGGTCAACCTGGACAAATGAACTGAGGTCCCTCGAAACCAAAAGTTGCGAGTGGTTCTCAGGGCGAGAATAGCTCCTTCTGAGGGGAATGAGAATAGGAAAGAGCCATTGGAGAGTTGTTTGCACTGGAGTTCTGGTTTTTCCAAATCTCTTTGGCCCAAGTTTCGATTCCTTTTCGATCATCTCTCCGAGGATGAAAGACGGTTGTAGAGTCATGGAAAATTAACAAAATTTCAACATAACCAATAGTCTATGATCTCTGATTATGAGTTACAGTTACTAATACAAGAACAAATGAAAATCCAGATATGGGCTGGGACTTCGTCGGTAATTGTAACCGATTTCCCTTTTTGATAGGTAACAAAGGACTTTAACTTGCAAATCAAAGCGCCGGGTTGAGATCTCCAAACTATTAGGGTCATAGGACTGAAAACCCTCCTAGTGATATACTTTTTCTTTCTTTCTTTCTTTTTTTTTAAGTTCTCTGTAAATCTAAAAGATGCATTTTTGTAAACACAACATCACATGAATTATGTATCAATGTAAAATGTGCATAGTTGCAGGGACAAGTGGAAGATGGTTGTATATGCCTAAAATAAACAGTTTGAAATCATCAAATGTAATAACGAATTTCTTCAATCTTCCAGGGAGATCTTTCTTTGTTGGACTACAGCAGTGCAGGTGCTAGTGGGCATTTTAATTTTTTCCTGAATTCGCCCAAGCATCTTGATTTTCCTTTATTTAATAGAAATCAACTTGTATTAAGTTTACTTGTATGTGGTGGTTATAGATAGATGTTTCCTAACTTGTTATCAGCTTAGTAATCCTATAAACTTGGAAACACACGATAATTTTAACATTAAAACAGTATTAAATCACGTAATATATAACTCAGTGTTTAGGAAACCAGACTCCACTAGGGACTTCATGGAATCCCGACCCCAAGTCTGAACAAGAGTTGGTCAACTCAACGAAAAATTGACAAAGGAGGGCCAAAAAAGGGTGCGACGAGTTCCAAGTTACTGGCTCGAGCCTGACCAAGATCCGGTCCTAGCCGATCACACAGGTCCTGAGTCGGCTCTGCAAGCTATAACTCAAAAATAGTGACTGGACTCCACCAAATAAGTTTTCACATTTCAAAACATCCATTAATTTCAAGAAGAAATTCATTAAAGCCATGAAGTAAGCGCACGCCTGCCTAAAAAGAAGAATTACATCTATGGAACTCTTAAAACACTTTTTTCACATAAAACACATTTTTCACATAAAACATAACCAAATAACTCATGGGCATGTCCATAGCCAGGCTTGGCCACCATAGATTACTTTATCTAGACAAGAAACATAAGAAAGCAAGTGAATCAAACAATCATGTATAAAAAATAAGGACATAGTCTGATCAAAACAAAAACGAGAAGTTATACCTTTTTTTGGTCGACCATCTCTTCCAGTATGCGAGTGCCGCTCATGCTTTATTGGACTACCTTTGTTGGATCCATGTTTGACAGGTGATCTTGGGGTCCTTGGTGTTCTCGGTGATGTGATGACCTCTAATGGAGAAACAGATGTTGGATCCACACTCTCAGTTGCAGACCTGAACAATTCACGATGCTCTTCTGAAAGTTTCCCATCATTGTACTCCATTGAACACTTGTGAAGTTTATTTGCTCATATATGGCCAAAAACCAGAGCTAATGTAAGCTCCCAAACAAAATAGGCTCTAGAGATTCCAAAATGAGAATGAGGCCAACTCTTTCATCACGCATTCGATGATTTGAAATCGATATATTCTTGCAAGCAACTAGAATTCATCGAGAGAAACTATGTCGAACATGGCTTCATACAACAAGAAACCCAAATCAGTAAAATGGAAAAAACTATAGAAAGAAAACTATTAAAGATCTCACTAAAAACTCCCATTAACCATTTATAGAGCATCTCAACAAGCCGCTCCACATGACATAAAATACAATTAAAGGTGTCCCACGGCCTTTGAATCTTCTCTAGAGGTGCCACATCTGGTTTGTACGAGAGTTTTCAGGGTTTGAACCTTCAATTTGTTCCGCATTCAAACCTCACCCCAAAAACAAAGAAAGGAAAACACACATGCAGACATATGCACATAAATAAGGACAATCAAACAAGAAAATGATAAACAAAGATCTATTTTAGGTAAAAAAAAAATACAAAATTATATTAGCCGAGAATTATCCTCACATCCCTACACTGAGAATGAAGAAATATCGTTCTAGCCCTTGATCTTATCCTTTCTTGACGGATTGAGAAGTTCGACTAGCTAACTTTTCTTAGCAGTTAAAAAGCTAACTTTTCTTAGCAGTTGAAAATCCATGGCCTGTCATGACAAGAAATAGGATCCAAGCGCTGGGAGGTTCATATTTATGTTCTTAATATAGGTGTGATTTCAATTGTTTCTCTTGGAAAGACAAGATACTATTATACAAAGAAATGTTGAATTAAAAGGAGGCTTCGATCAATTCAAAACATGAAAATCAATCTAAAACTTGGCAAATTAGTCTCATACTCAACCAAGTTACTCAGACATCACAGACTACCGTTTCGAAATAAAAAAAATATTGGGACTTGGGCTCGGGACTATTGTGTCTCCCGAACAGAGTCCAAGGTTTAAAATAATTATCCAAAACATTAGAAAACAATCGATAGGGAGATAATCTAAAGGGATCTTAGAAACAACACGAGAGAGGTGGGTGAGATAAAAATTGGATCAAAATGATAAATCAAGAAAAACCCTTTTCTTCAAATCATGCATACTGCATTTATGATGAGATCTTGAAAAATAATAAAGCAAACGAGAGTGTCTATATGCTAAAAACAAAATAGCGAAACACGAAAAATTTCAATATATGCATATTAAGGGAAATTCTTTTGGGTTATGCGGCGTTCAAATTATGAAATTCGTGTCAAACTGTCAAGAAAAGAGAGGTACAAAAAACGTTCAAAATATGAAAATTGTGTCACTCGTACGAGAAAGAAGACGTACAAACTCAACAACACACAAGTCGTGGAGGGCAAAGCGACACAGGGGATAG